CAGCCAAATTCTGCAGGAATTATGAAGATGTCAGGCTTAAGGGTGAGAGCAAGAGACATGCCACTCTTTTTATAGCAGAGCTGAGGCTCTCAGAACAAAGAGTAAAAATAATTTCTTCGGCATTGGTGGTTTGAGTTGAAGCTCTAAGAAAGGTAAGGTAAAAAGCAGCAGCAAATGGGATTTTGATTTTAATTATCTTTTAAGGCAAGCAAATATTACAATGATGGGTGCTGCTATACAGATTTAGAGTAAACTACATAGGGAATCCAAGTGAGGCAGCAACCATATTAAATCAGCATTTCAAGAACAGTGACTTTGTACTTAGGCAGTCAAAAATACATGTAAATCTTTAACAGCAGTAATAGTAAATTTGCTAATCCTGGCAACATTCCTAGTAAATTATTGCACAATGCCCGTGGGAAGGGCAGGGGGAGGAGGAAAGAACAGTTAAGAGAAAATCAGGAACTTTGATCCAATTATGCCAGTTTTTCTACTGTTTCCAAGTGGATCACTGCTTCTTAGCAAATTGAAGAATGAGAGGAATACCTAGGGAAGGAGAAGACTTGAGACAAGGGTTTGTTTTCCCTACCTTTAAAAAATGGGATCTCTTTTTCTTTTTCGTTAAATTATGGTCTCAGTGATTCATTTTCTGTAGTTTGCTGATCCTTAGAAAGGATGTACATCTAATGGATAGTCATATTTGTATAAGTAAAAGCAGAGGTTTTACTGAAATGAATGACTTCTTCCTTTTGGTATCTAAATAATTTAAACATGTCTTAAGATGTTGAATTCCAGGGTCCTCAGGCCCAGGAAAAACTTGCATTGATTTCAATGATTGAGCCGCTTCTAAAAGGGGTTAGGGATACAGTCTATAACAGAACACAGGGACTGAGTGTGTGTGTGTGTGCATGTATGTGAAGCTGTTCACTTATACAAAGGGTTGTGGAGGTTGTACACATTTTGCATGAACTCACATGAATTCAGGGCATATTTCTTAATATGCTGAGCTCCAAGCATGAGTTTAATGGGGTTGAACATGTCTTAATACAACCTCGGTATCTCTCCAATTCTGAGGGCAGGCCATAGGTTTTTACTAGCATGATGTTAACTTGTTCCATGGGACTGTTCTAGCAGTGCCCATTATACTAGTGGGGACCCTGGAAAGAGATGGCATGGAGCAGGGGTGGGCAATTATTTGGGCCTGTGGAGTTTTGGTGAGCTGTCGTGAACTGGGTCAGCACCCCCACCGGTGCAACAGCTCACCCAGACACCTAGGACACTCAGCCAGGCAGCTGGGATGGGGCTGCAGGAGTGTGGAGAGTGGCATCTGGGAGAGGGAAGGGCTGGTGCAGCCAAGGCTGGGATCTCAGGGTGATGACAGCATGGAGCTGGGGACCAGAGCAGAGCCTCGTTCTGCTGCTCATACACCTCTGCAAAGGGTTCCAGTTCTGCGGGCAGGGGCATGCGGGAAGTGAATTGTGACTGCCCCAGGCCCAAGCCCCTTGCTGTCACCACCCAGAGATCCCAGGGTCTCCATAGAGACCAGCCACGACCTGAAAGGCATTTGACTAGGTGAACAGGATGGGGCCACGGGCAGGCAGGGAGCTGCATCCAGGGCTGGGTCTGGGATTGTGGGGCTGGGCCCAGGCTCAGAGAAGAGCTGCAATTTGCTCCGTGCATGCCCCTGCCTACAGAGCTCACACCCGTCCCAGGGCTGTATGGGCAGCAGATCATGGCTTATCCCTCTGCTGCCACCACCCCACAATCTCACCCCATGATCTGGTCCTCACTCATCCATCTCCCAAACACTGGTCCCCACCTGCCTGAAGCCCCATCCCAACTGCCCGGCTGTGCACCCTGCCCAGGCACATCCTGCTCCCAGTGATGGGTGTAGGGTGGACAGGCTGGAGTGCCCAAGCAGTGGGGCTGGGTCCAGTGACAGCAGCAGCAGAAAGGAGCCACCACTGCCAGGACTGTCAGAAAGTGAGTATGGCTGCTCAGCCCTGCTGAGCATCTGTAGGCAGTGGGACCAGCCACACACACCACAGCCTGGGCTGCTCCCTGCACCTGGGCTGGGCAGGATTGAGGGGCCCACCGTAGGCTAGATAAATTCCCTCAGTGGGCTGGATCCAGCCTGCAGCCCGTACTTCGTCCCCCACAGCATAGAGTCATTCTAACACCTCTGCCAACTATGGATTCTCCCCAGGTTAGCAGCTCCTTTGATGACCATACCTGCTGGGTTTGTAGCCCTTTTATGCAAGTTTCTCAGTTGAAGGGAGATGTAAGGATCCCCTGTCAATTCATACTAGGTCACTGTCTGCTGGCATCTCAGGCAGTGGGGACAGGAGCAAGCCACCCAAGTTGTCTGGCGTGTCTTGCCAGAGCCTGGCACCAGCAGCAGCTTGCAGGATGTGCTGGGCAGCCTGAGAGGCTTGTGCTGAGCAACAGGGACAGGGATGTTCTGTAGATGGAAGGATAAGGCCTCTCAGAGCTCAATCCTTCTTTCTACAGAGCCAGGCCACCCCTGATTGCCTATCAGGCACACCCCCACAGCCCCCTGCCATCACCATGAACTCTCCCCTGCACCCAGGCCTAGGCTTCCAGGATAGCCCCAGAGCGGGTCATCATAGTATGCCCAGGTGCCCAGCCAGCCAGCCAGCCCAGCAGCAAATCAGGGATGGTTCCTGCTTGGCTGCCTTCAGCAATCTCTAGTACTCTGGAAGATGTGCAGAAGCGGTCCCTACCTTCTGGCCTCAGCAGTACAGACAGCTGCGTGCCCCCCACCCAACCCGTGCCACAAAGGGTGAACATGTTCACTTCGCTCATGTTTCAATCTGCGCAGTTTAGAGAAACCTGTGAAGGTTTGACAAACTTTTTGAACATCTGTACCTAGCTGAAGTCTACAGATACTCCCACAAATTTCTGTGAAGTCTCCAGGGTTTTTGGTTGTAGCCATGTTGGTCTAAGGGCACAGGCAGGCAAGGTTCTTTGAGTAGATGTGATAGCTTTTATTAGACCAACTAAATAGTTGGAAAAAAGTTCTTAGCAAGCTTTCAGGTGCAGTCACCCTTCTTCAGGCATGGGGAGTCTCTGCTGTTCGGAGACTCCAAGGATTGAGAGGAGCTAAAAGTGTGGCAGGATGTCAGTGAAAATGTAAATAGGTACAAATTAGAAAAACAAAAGGTGAAGCAGGGAAGGGAGGGGGAGAAAAGCAAGGTAGAATTACTACCACTTTTTCTACCCTGAGTTACAATGTTTCCACCTTGAATACAATTTTCTACCTTGAATTACTACCACTGTAGTATCTCCCTTACTCATCTCTGGCTTTTCCCCCTCCTCCTTCCCTTATATCAGTTTCTTATATAAGTTCTGTTCTTGACATTTTTAATTACTGTAATTTGAATGTTTGGGGATGTAAGGCTCACTGCTACCAGGTGCTGGTATCTACAACACTACCGAAGTCAATGGAGATTAAAGGTAATCAGCTTCCTGCAGGATGGAGCTCTGTACTTTGTTATCTTTATTTATTAGCATGAGCAGTTGTTCACACTAGCAGTCAGAGTTCAATGACTACTAGCTTGCAGTACATACATTTTAGTTGCAAACAGTGGTAATCTTCCTGCTGAAGGAAGAGTGAATAGCCAGAAGAGAGATGATCCTATCTGCTTGCTGTTTTGGAATGTTGATGTAGCCAGCTATATTGATTGCTACTTTGCAGAAGAAATCATGAAACATCTGAAGCAGCAATGGTAAGGGAAGAAATTTATCAATGCTCCTTTCAAAGTTTTGTACATAAGCCAATATAAAATGGTCTTGTATTAATCCATCAGGATTTTAACAGTATTTAATATGCGATTTAGTTTAAGACTACATCATGATTGCAGTGCATGGGGGCTATGAACAAATATAAGTTATGTTGTGGCAAATACCTGTGTTAAGAAAATATTGCTTTTTTGCTCTTTCAACAGCAAAGTGAAATTCTTTCCTCTCCAGATGGCCTGGGTAGCAAGATATGCATTAAAAAATTCTTAAGGCTAGAGATGGGTAAGAGCTCCCCTTGGGTCAAGGAATAACAGTAGATAATGTTGTCATTGCTACAGCCTCAAGTTTGCAGTTGCTGGTAATGACTGGTTTCCTCTTCCGTGTACAAGGAAAAGCTGTTGATTTGGGTGATAATGGATTCAGCCGGCAAGTTCTCCATCCCAGAATATTTTTGCCTCTAAATCTGTGTTGTGGGTTATGGACCCCAGAAATGTGTACCAGGAGATGCAGAAGTCCATTTCAGAGGTCACTGAATGAATTCTTTTAAATCTGCAGGGTGTATGCTAATTCAGGGCAGCCTGTTCCAAGATTTTGGCATAAAGAACTTCACATAAACATCATTTTAACTCAGTTAATGGATCCTATGAAACTTGAGAACTTTTCTGTAAATTCTTGAGCACCACCTGGTGGCACTTATCTTGTAGAGATTTACATATGTACAGATATCACTCACAAATATACACTTAAGAGTATGGAAAAGGTTTACTGTTAACTGAAATTATTGAGGAGCCACCTCAGTAGTTGAAATCAAAAGTGTATAATTGTATTGAATATTATTTTTAATCTTGAATTTCAGGAGAAGTCTAGCCATTTTGCAAATTTTGTGCCTGTTTTTGAAGACATGTGTACCAAATGCTTCCAAACCAAATATTTTACTTATAATGGTCGATGATCTTGGTATTGGAGACGTAGGCTGCTATGGCAATGATACAATAAGGTAAGGATTCTATAAGACAGGTTCAGAGGATGTCCTTTTTGGGGGGACATGGTGTAAAAGAGCAGAAGATTCCCCTAAAATGACCCTAGAATTTCACCTGTATATGTTGTGTATATTTATTTCACCTCACTCTGTGAAAATGTCAAGGTAGGAAAAAAGAGCAGACCTTCTTGAACAGCCACCCTATCCACATATGAAAAATAACCAGCAATCCTTCAAGTTTTTCTTGTAACTGTTCTGATGATAGCACAATGTTTTTCAACCTAAAATAGACAGGAAATCTGTTCCAGTATTATTCAGCAGTAAAACATGTGCTGCTAATTATTGTCAGGGAAATGCTGCAGTTATTTATGTAACTGTTCATCTGTTTAGCTGATTACTTTATCTACATATTCTTCTGTTCAGTTGACATATAAAATACTCCACAGTAGATTTGGCATTATACGAATGAAGTAATATTATAATGTTGCACTTTGTGAGGAACTTTTGGGGGCTCTGTAATAAGAAGGTGAATGGATAATTTATCTATATCAGTATATTTATAGTTTGTGTGTCTGTCATTCCAAGATTGTATCAAAGACTGGGATTTGCTCCCAAATGACAGTTCCAAGAAACACCTGTTTATATTTTATTATATGTGAGTGCCATGATTATTCCATGTCCATGATATATTTATCCCAAGATGTCCTTTGCTGTCTTTGCATAGTCAGATTTTAGTAATCTGGAAGGTTAAATTTTATAATGAAGATCATAAATAGTTTAAATTGCTAGAATGGGAAAGAGATTTTTTTCCTCATTATATTCACTATTACGTGCATTTAAACCTTCTGCTTCCCAACTTTGGCATCTGGCAGCAAGGACATGTTAGATTACATGGAATACATAGAGGGTCTCTTTTCTCTTTAGGACCCCTAATATTGATCATCTGGCAAAGGAAGGAGTAAGACTGACTCAGCACATTGCTGCAGCTCCAGTTTGCACCCCAAGCAGAGCAGCTTTCCTGACTGGCAGATACCCCATCAGATCAGGTTGGGTCTCTCTCCAATGGTTCACTAATACCACAATTTGCCATTAAAATTCCCTTAAGTAAGAAAAACTGTAATTATAAAAATTTAACATTACTAAAAACAGTGGCCTCCTTTTCTAGTACCATGTAGCTACTTCTGATGTCTTTGCAAAGCATGCATCACACTGTATTAGTTTGTGTTTAGAAATGGTTTTGTGTCCTGTTAGTCACAGGATAAAGGAAAGAAAATGTTGCTTGGAAGCCCCTAGTCAATTTAGCTGTGCCAAAAGCTCAAAAATTGTCATAAAGTTCTTAAGATCTGGGGCTAAGCAAGCAGGAACAAAATAACTGCTGCTGTATTGGCAGATTGAGCCATGTGGAAAAAAATCAACATTAAATAGGATTAATTCAGATCTATGTGTTAACCATAAATAGGTGAAGATGGGCACATAAAGGAAGGAATTGTTCAGTAGGATACATCTAGGAGCTTAGACCAATGTACATTTGAAGCAATTTCCAAAGGGGAGAGGGGAGCTGATGTTAGAAGCAAGCAGCAGCTGTTATACTGTAACTGTCACATGCAGGAGCTTATAGCAGTTCAAGTGAAGTGCATTGCTATAATTTTGGCAAGGTTAAAACTGGAGGGATTTTGCTTCTCTACAGGCTCAGAAATTCGTAACTTGTGCATCATAATAGCAGCAGCTTCCCCTTCCCTTTTGAAGCTGCTTTGAGTGTTTGTTTCTCCGTACCCCAGGGTTATAAGCAATAAGGTAAGCAAATACAAGTCTAAACTTTATATAAAGACAAGATTTTTCACAGTGAAATCAGTTAGATGTTGAATAGACTTTCAATTATAGTAGTGCAAAACTCTACCACCAGTACCCCAGTTGCTTATAACTAGACAAAGATCCCGGGTCACATCCTGATCTGATATTAATCAGTCTAGCATCACTAAAATGAATAGAAATATACTGGTTTACACCAACTGACAGGAGTCAGTTCAGGTCATGTAGGGTTCATAAATGGCTTTGCAGGTCTGTTACATTTTGAAATTTATGATCTTTGACAGTATGTTATTGAAATTTGGTTTTAAGGGGAATGTGACTTTGCATTGATCTGAAAGGAATATGAGAAAATGAAATAGTCATGCATTATTATTGTATTAAACTTCAGGCATGGGTTCCAGCATCAAGCAACGCATTGTTTTTTGGAATGGTGCCTCAGGAGGCCTTCCTCCCAATGAAACAACTTTTGCCAGAATACTGCAGCAGCAAGGTTATACCACAGCACTTATAGGTATGATACATCAGATGTACTCTCTTTCCATCCCTGTCCATTGGCATCCTGGTAACTGGGATTTTTTTCATGGTTAGAATCAGTTAGAATTGCAATCTCTACAACACTTTAAGCAGTCTAACGTTTGAAAAATACAGTCCATTATAGAAAAAAATGTTAGTCCATGTTTGATAAACCCAAGGGGAATGTGTGTGGATATACACACTATTTAGTAGCCACAAAACAGAAATCACTCCAAAGAAATCAATCAAGTATATTCTCAGCACATAAAAACAGAAACTGGAATGTATTTATGCATGCCAGCTGGTAGCCAGTCTTTATTGATGGCCTTAGTTGAGTCACTGAGTGGCTGCTGGCTGCTTCTGCAGCCTCCTTATTACTGGGCATGTCTACACATGCATTTGATCCAGAAACAGTTGGTTCGTGAGTAAACTACCTGAGAATAAATGCTCCAAGGCAGACATCTACACATGCAGGGAGGCAGGCACAGATTTGCTGCTCCTAACAGCAAACTGCTCCTGCATCATGAGGCCCTGCAATGGGCCCCAGCCACCACTAGGGGAAGCTGGAGGCCACAGACCATCTTTAAAAGGCAGCCCCACTCCCTGTTTCCTAGCCAGCCACTTTTCTAGCTGGGAGCAGCATGAACAGCATAGAAACAGCATGCAGCAGCTCTCTCACCACAGCCTCTGCCTCCCCATGCCATGGCTGTTCCAACCCCTGACCCTGGCAGCAACACCCAGTGCTCCAGGCTCCTGATGGCCACCATGCTGGCCCTGCTGGCCCACCGCGATTACTGCTGTCTGGCCCACAGCAGTCTGGGCCCTGCCGACTCCCCCACATTCAGCAACTACCTGGGCCCACCCTGAATGCCACCATGAATGACAAACAGTGGATGGAGGCATTCTGCCTGACCCAGCCCACCTTCCAGGACCTCCTGGAGCTATTCCACCTGCACATGGAGTGGCAGGACACCACCATGCGGCAGCCCGTCCCCATGGAGACACTCTGCTGGCCATCACCCCACTCAAGCTGGCCATGCCCACCGGCCTCCAGTATGTCAGCTACCATTTTGGATTGGACAAGGGCACCACTGGAGAGGTGGTCCTGGAGGTGTGAGCCACCCTACAGGATGTGCTGGGGCACACGGTGCTCTACATGCACAACCACCTGGCAATGGTGGTGGAGTTCCATGCTCTGGGCTTCCCCCACTGCATTGGGGCCTTTGATGGGACCTACATACCTGTCACCTGCCCATGCCATGGTGACTGCCCCACTACAGCCAGCAGGGCTTCCACTCTGTCATGCTCCAGGCCATCGCTGACCACTGTGGCATCTTCATAAATGTGAGAGCCGGCTGAGCAGGCAGTGCCCAGGATGCCCACTAGGGCTTTGTGAAACTTCGGTCCCTGATTTGATTCAGTGGAGATTTGGCCTGATTCAGTTGATGAATCTCTGAATCTGAATCGAGTCAAGAGACCTTTTAATCTCTCTGAATTGAACCGGAACCCTCCAATCGATTTGGAGAGATTGGGAAAGATTCAATGATTTGGAGATAGACACAGTTTTAAATGTTTTTTCTACATACCTCAAGGTACCAGCCAGCTCATGAATGCTGAAATACTGGGGTGGATGGAGCATCCCACAGGAGCACAGGGGGCTCCCCAGCGTGCTTGGCAGCAGACCCAGAAGTGGACCAGAAGCACTTCCGGTCCACTTCTGGGCCCACTGGGGAGCACACAGGGGCCCCCCTCCACCCTCGCAGCTCAGTGACTGGTACCTCCTGGGTCTGGGGGGGCATCTGGAGTCCCTCTGTGGGTGATTACTGTGCTGGGGGGCACAGGAGGGTGCAATCAGCAGTAGACCCAGAAGTACTTCCAGTTCACTTCCGGGTTTGCCACCAAGCAGGTGGACCCCTCCCTGCCCCACACACACACTTCTGTGGGATGCTCCATCCGCCCTGGCATCGCAGCATTCATGAGCCGTGCCTATGCCTTGCTGATTATGATGACCCATGTGTGGCTTGTGTGTGTGTTTCTATTACCAAGGGGTTTCTCCCATGTGTGATTATCATACTTAGAGGTCTAAATCCTATTTCACATGCCTAAGAAGAACTGATGCACCCTTGTAACTGAAGCTTTTGGCACTTACAGTCTGAGATTCAGGCTATTGACAGACATTCAGTGGGTGTGTCTACATAAGCATTTACTGTGCAGTAAGTAGTTTTTATACCAGCATCTACACGTGCAAGAATTACAGTGCAGTAACACACAGTAAGGCTATGTGGACTGACTTGAGATGAAAGTTAGTCCCAAATCTGTCCACACATACAGCGCCACCTTGCAGTAAGGCATCTATATGTGCCTTACTGTGCAGTAACTACCTGCATCATGCAGGGATCAAATTTACACCCAAGTCGGCGTAAGTCACCATAGTTACTGCACAATACAGGTGCACACATATAGACATGTGCCCATATGGCACAGGAATTTTCACTTACTGTGCAGTAACCTAAGTTTAAACCACAGTGGAATCTGATCTGTGATCCCTGACTGAAGTAGCAGTCAGCTGAACAGGACTCCCAGTTGTGGGAGCACATCAGAGCTACGAACTCCATGCACTTCTGTGGCTGGCAGCCTTGATAAGTTGACCAGTGTCTCCAGCTGCAAGAGCATGTCCTTTTCTGCCTTGGGGGAAGTAAAATCCAAACTGTGTTTAAGTGCCACTTAGGCACTTCTTATATCACAAAGTTCCTTCGTAAAGTGAATAATTACATTGGTATTTGAACTCAGTCACAAATTTTCTCTCCTAATTTTGGACTTTTCCCCCAGTGAAATTCTGTTAATCGAGTTGAGAAAGAGAAGAATGAATGTTCTGTTTATTGTATTCCTCCCTGGAGGGGGGGCAGGGGGTGCAAATCGGGGCAATGGCCCTGGGCCTCGCGTTTTGGGGGGCCCCCGCGGAGCTGGGTAGAGTGGCCACAGTGACTCCACACTGCCGCTGGCTTCATGTCCAGCCACTCAGTATGTCCCCCTTCCTCCCCACACCAAGTCCACCACCAAATCTGACGTGTCCAGCTGCTCAGCACCCTCACCCCCCACACTGCCAAATCCACCACTGGCTTCCTTGCATCCAGGGGCAGGGCCCCAAAAAGGCTGATTTCCCCCAGGCCCCGCACCCTGCTCGGGTCATCTCTGGTCCTCCCCTATAACTTTTACCTGAGAGTCTATGCCAACTATATACAAGAAAGTCTTCTTGGTTGAGCCACTACATTATACTTTAGTGCAGTGGACAAATTGTTAACAATAGGAGAAAAAGTACCTACAGTTAATGAAACAGGTTTTAAAGTCTTTGATTTGTATTTTCAGGCAAGTGGCATTTGGGTGTGAACTGTGAATCCCGCAACGATCACTGCCACCATCCTCTAAACCATGGCTTCAATTATTTTTATGGAATGCCTTTTAGCCTTGTGAACGAATGTCAAGGAAGAGAAAATCCTGAGCTAAGCCAGTCTTTGCAAGATACCTATTGGCTTCACACTCAGATAATTGCCCTTGCTGTGTTTACACTTTTGATTGGAAAACTTACCAATTTATTCTCAGTGAAATGGAAGACTATTACATGTTTTGCCACATGTGGTTTCCTGTTTTTCATCTCCTGGTTCTCCAGCTATGGATTTACGAAGTACTGGAATTGTATCCTGATGAGAAACCACGACATTACTGAACAACCAATGAAGCTGGAGAAAACCACTTTCAACCTTCTTAAAGAGACAGTTTCATTTATTGAACGGTAAACAACAAAAAACACATTACCTTTCAATGTATTTTACCTATTTTGTTACCATTTGACCAGGCAGCTGGCATGCTGTGATAATTGCCTATTATTCTGGCCAGTATTGTTTAATGGCTTTCTGGGATTCCTTGTCTGTCAGTATCCCTCTGTTGTTCCTTGTCTTATGCTTAGTTCATAAGCTCCGTAGGGAAGGGAATATAATTTTGTTTTGTTGGTATACCAGCTACACTCCATCTTGGTCCATGAATGGCTCTCTAAAACATTAGGCGCATAGTACAAAAATATTAGTTTGACAGACAGTCTGCATGTCGAGATAACTGAAGAAAATATTTTTCAGCTAAAGAGTTTTTCAAAAGTAATACTGCCTCTTTGGACTGCATTGTTTAGAACGGGGTGGTCAATTATTTGGTCCCACAGGACACACAGGCAGTTCTGGGGAGCTGCTATAGGCCGGTCAGCAACCTCCCCCACTCCCCACCACAGTACCTCAGAGCTTGCATGCCTAGCTCTTCCTCCCTGCCACTGCTAACAGCACACAGCCCCAACCTGAGCCTTCCCTATGCCTACTCTAGGCTGCCTGCCCACACTGAACAGTGGCAGTAGCCAGGCAAAAGCTGCTGCTTGGCATGGGGGAAGAGCAGCCCCTCTCCCTCACTGCCGCCAGGCCCTTCTTGATGCAGCTTCCCGGAGCCCATGCCCAGGCTACTGTGCAACTCCTCTCTACTGCTGTCACTGCCACCTCCAGGCCATCCAGCGGTGGCAGTGCAGAGGAGCTACAGGGCATCCCGGGTGCAGGCTCCAGGAGGCTGCAGCAAGAAGGGCCTGGCAGCGGAAGAAGGGACAGGTCACTTTTCCCAAGCTGAGCAGCAGCATCTGCCCAGCTGCTGCCACTGCTGCTTCTTCTCAGCATGGGTAGGTAGTCTGGAGCAGGTGTGAGGTGGGCCAGGGTAAGGCCACATGCACAGGTTCTGCCTAGTCTGGGGCTTGTCTGCTCCACCAGGCCAAGTCTGGAGCAGGCATATGTCGAGCCTGGGTCAAGGCTGTGAGCATGGGTCCCTGCCAGTATCATGGGGCTAGGACCAGCAGCAGTGGCATCCAGAAGGAGCCACTGCTACCTAAAAAGGCAGTCCAGCTGCAGAGCCACCCTGACCCACCTGCCAAAAGGATTGTCCCCCCGAGGTTCAGAGTAATGTTAGTAAGTTCCACTAGACTATAGATTAGGAGCTGGGGTGGTATGGGTGCTAAAGCACATTGTTGTTAGCCTAGAGATTGAAAGTTCAATCATAGCAAAAGTACTTACAGCATGGCCTGTCATAATCCATCAAATTCTGTTAAATACCTTGTCACAGGGACACAGGAAAAGAGCCTAGCTCTTTATTTTCATTTGCATGTATCCATGGGAAAAATCTGAGCCTAGCTGAGATTTTACTTCTACTACTAACATGACTGTTTGCAGTAAATGGGACAATTCTATTCTCTGTGTAACATTTTAATGTGTCCTATACACAGAAAGAAAACTTTTGGCTCTCATTTCTTTCCCTAAAAAAGATTTTTGTTTTTAAATTAAATTTTCAAAGTGAAAAAGAAAGCGAAAATATGATTTTTCTTTAATTTTGCATCAGGTAAAATCTCAGTAACACGATTGTGCAATGTCAGCTACACCTAACTTGGGACCAAAAAAAAAAGGCCTAGTTTTAGTTTGGAAACAATTCAGAAGCAAAATTATTGAACTCTGTTATCCTAAAGAACCTCCAGATTCAAGAAAGTTGAATCTGAAATTTGTTGTGGCCTCCTGTAGTGCTTCTAACTTATTATTAGCAGGATGTTGAATACAAATTTTAGTAATACATTTCAAAGTGTTTTTGTTTGATTGATTGATTGATTTTGTTTTTCCACTAAAAAACTCTTCTTGTAAAAATGTGGCATTAATTATTTTTGCTGGCTTCTAGAAGCAAGCAAGATCCATTCCTCCTGTTTGTTTCCTTCTTACATGTCCACACGCCCCTCATCACAACAGAGAAGTTTCGTGGGAGAAGCAGTCATGGTTTATATGGTGATAACGTAGAGGAGATGGACTGGCTGGTGGGTGAGTAGACTTTATTTGGATTTGTAAGTAAGTAAATTAAAATAAAATTGAGGCCACTGGCAACACATAGGGGGTGCACATGCACTCCTTAAGATCAGCCGTGCACCCCCTGGAAGCTCCAGCCATGAAACCTGAAGTGTTACCGGAAGTGCACTTCTGGTTTCACTGCTAGCTTAGCAATCCGTAGTGGGGGACACCCTCCCATCACTGATCTGGTGCCCCCCCCAGACTCAGGAGGCATCAGTTGCCCATGATTGAGGCACTAAGTGCCCCTACCACAAATCGCAGAAACACATAACATTAAACTGTCTGAAACTGAGCTCTCAATTATATGTGTGCATCCAAAACATCATTCTCCCCTTGTACTCGACCTTGCTGAGGTCACAGCTGGAGTACTGCATCCAGTTTTGGGCTCCACAATTCAAAAAGGATGTGGAGAAGCTTGAGAGAGTCCAGAGAAGAGCCACGCGCATGATCAGAGTTCAGGAAACCAGACTGTACGACGAGAGGCTGAGAGCCATGGGGCTCTTTAGCCTGGAAAAGCACAGGCTCGGGGGTGATCTGATGGCCACCTATCAGGGGTGACCACCAGTATCTGGGGGAACGTCTGTTCACCAGAGCGCCCCAAGGGATGATGAGGTTGAACGGTTATAAACTACTGGAACACTATTTCAGGCTGGACATAAGGAAGAATTTCTTTACTGTCCAAGCCCCCAAGGTCTGGAACAGCCTGCCGTCAAAGGTGGTTCAAGCACCTACATTGAACACCTTCAAGAGCAAATTGGATTCTTATCTTGCTGGGATCCTATGACCCCAGCTGACTTCCTGCCCTTTGGGTGGGGGGCTGGACTCAATGATCTTCTGAGGTCCCTTCCAGCCCTAATGTCTATGAAATCTATGAAAACACTGTTACACTGCACTTTACTTTTAGTGTGCACCATTATCCTTAGAAAACAGTTGGCTTAAGACCATCCATCTCTCAAGAACACCTTCTGGTGTATTCTTTGATAGTTACAGTGCCATGTTGAAGATAATCAGTGTGTAGGACACACTTTTTTAATGTTCAGAAAAAAAACATGTGGGACCTTTTTCCTAGTTCGTATTTATTTAAGAGTTGCTGGCATGTGGTCTCAAAGAATGCCTTTCTCATATATTTAATCCAGAGTGGTTCAAATATGGTAATTGTTAGTAAAAACTTGAATGTGCACTTTACTGCATTTTATTTCTGGGAGCTTCTGTCTGTTGCGTGTGTCTATATGGCTCCCACCCCTCTAGTATCACCTCAGAATCCTTAATGGTATTATCCTCAGAGTTGCTGTGAGGATTTTACAGATGGGTAACTGAGGTAAAGAAAGACTCAGCAAACTGTTCAAGGACACACAGAAGTCAAATAATGCTAATGCCCTAACCAAAAGGCATTGAGAAGCCTGGGTGAAGGATTACTAGTTCAATTTACTTCCTGATTGTTTTTTTTTTTCTTTTTTTATGGCAATTACTATTACCTAGAAACATGTGTAAAAATACTTTCATCTAGACCCATGATTTTCCTATAATATGTGATTCTTCTTTATATTTTTATTATTGTGGGGCTATACAAAGGTGTGATAATAGTCAATATCTGATTCATACAAGAACTTCATCCAAGACTTTGTGTAGGGCCTAATACAGTGCTTATTGAACTCACTGGAAAGGTTTCCTTTGACTTCAGTGGGCAATCAATCAGGTCCTTAGAGTCTGTTTCTGTTTTACTATAGAACAACACACTTTTCTTTATTTATAGGCCAACTTTTGGAAGCAATTGACAAGGAAGGACTAAAGAATAGCACATTTGTGTATTTTGCATCTGACCATGGCGGTTTCTTGGAGGCTCAAGAAGGAAATGTCCAACGAGGGGGCTGGAATGGAATATATAAAGGTGAGAATGATGTGGAATATTTTCCTGTGTTTTCTGTAGTTCCTACTCCACCTCTAAGTGGTCTAAAGCTGCATGCATATGTTCAAATCATCCAGGAGAACTCTCCCAGGTTTGTTTCCCTCAGAGAAAAAATTACCTGGAGAAAACTGTACAGAAGTTCAAGGAGAGAAGCAAAGAGCCTGCAGTGCTGATGTAGGGTTGCCAGGGATCCCTAGAGCAGGCATCCCAATGAGCTTTGCAGGCTTCTTTTTCTACCCAGAGACAGTTGACAAAGCAAGGGCACAAGTCAGCACTGATCAGCTTGCTACCTCAGGAGACCATGCCCCTTAAGAACTCCAGCTCAAAATCCCCCTCTCCTTTTAGTGAGGCTTTGACAGAGGAGATCCAGAGCTTCTCTCCTCTCTTATCAAGAAGTTATACAAAGTGGTATAGTCTGGGCAGAGGCAAGGGTCTGCCACACAAGGGAAGGGGGCCAAGGGGATGCCACATAAGGCAAGTGGTGTGGGTCTGTGGCTGTCCCATGCACAGAGGTCTCCACCCTGAACTCTCTGCACCATGATCCAGCCCAGCTGCAGCCCAGCAGGGACCTAAGTGCTGCACTTTGTGCCAGGGGGGCTGGGGCTACCCAGGCAGGGGGGAACAAGTCAGCTGGTTCTGGTCTGGCCTGAGTAGCCTAAGTAGGCCCACTGAAAAATGCAGAAGCAGAACATGTCCCCTAAAGCCTTCAGGACTAGACTTTTCAAAACCCAACGAAGTCAGGGTATGGGTTCTTCTCCCTGCCTGGCTGGGACTGACACATGCTCTCCCCTGGCCCTGTGGGAGGGGGAGGGAAAGGGAGCAAAGCTCACTGGGATTCCAGAGAGCAGCTCTACAGCTCCTTTTGGACCCCTACTTGTACAGACATTCAATCTCTTGAGACAGATTCTCCTAGAAGCCACTTCATTCAGGTTGTTCCTGAGTTATAGTTCTCCCATAGTTGCTAGTTTTCTCTTGGAGAAAAATTATGAGCATTCGTGTACTCGTGGTTTCTCCCAAGTGAGCAGAGACTGAACATCTGTTCACAGGCTACGTGACCTATGCTGTTACTTACATCTAAATGTTGGGCAGCAGCTATAGAAGCATTAAATTCAATAGAAGGAGGATGAAGAAGAACCACTGCCATCTTTTTTTAACAATAGCCTACCCAAGAAATGGGAGACCTGAGTTCTAGGCTCCTCTCACCCAGAGGCACTTGAATCCATACCTTCTACTTTGCAGGAAACTTGCCATTCCCTTGATTTATCACACAGAAGGGTGTGATATAGCAAATCTGTTCTGAGGATACCAAACATCTCAACATCCTAGTCCCTTTATGAAACTCTCCCTAAGTTACCTGACTAAGATAATATACAATACAGCAGCAGAACAGGGAATTCTACCTGTGCCTCTTACCTTACAGCGAAGTCTCCTAACAGAGGAAGTGTGGTTCTGTAGTTATCATGAAGCTCCTATACCAGTAAAGTTTGCAAGCATCTCACTAAGCTAGCTTTTACCATTTCAACCCCTTGCCTTATCACAAGAAAAACACAACAGTAGCAGAGAAAATAAACAGTGGAAATGACTAGATGAAGGTTGAGATCCCAGTAGAGGAGAAATGAGAAATATGAGCTAAGAGAAGGTGAGTAAAATGGAACATGATAGACGCATAAAAATAATGTTCGAAAGACTATGAATTGGGTATTCCAATTTATGCTCTGCTCTATTAAATGAACAAGGAGATACCAAATGAAACTGAACAACAATACATCGTAGAGCAATAAATCACAACAAATAAGTAAGCTGTGGCATCCATTGCTACAAGATATCATTACATCTTACAGCTTTGTACGATATGACAAAAAATTATATAACAATAATATGAATAATAATACTATCAATTGTCAAATAAGATAAAACAAGTAAAAAAATATTAGGGTTAAGTTACATGTTACATAGAACATACTAAGGACACTTAAAACATGAGTGCCCACAGGTTCAAGCTCATTAATTCACACTAAGTGTCCTCTCAAAGTTACAGCACATTAAGTGAAGATTATCTCTGGATTGTGCTCATGTTTGGGTAACTTCAGTCTGGTCCATGGAGAGAAAATGAGCAATTTGCAGTCCCCCAACATCCCAAGATGCTCTGCTCCCAGCTCTGCCTCCCACTTCAAGCAAAGATAGAGCCCAGGTATCCTGGTCTCTAGCCATGCACCTGTTTACCAACCCTCTAGTGGCAAGCAAGAAACAATATTACCATATGTAAGCAAATACAAAACAAATCTCAACTTAAGATGTATCCCCAATAATTAGATTCTATACACAGAAAATCTATAAATGTATTATAATTTTCCATGCTTGGTAACTAATTATTGAAAGATTATCTAAAATTTGTCCTGCACCACTACTGCAGGTAGTAAGAGGAGAGGTCATGAGAAGGGATGTAATGGAACAGGCGGTGGGCGAGGCAGTAGGGGGTCCCGTGTTTAGGGGCAGATAGTGGAGGAGGGGCAGTGGGAGACAGGCAATAGGTGGCAGGTGAGGGAGGCAGGCAGTGTGGAGGCAATGGGGCAGACAGTGAGAAAGGCATGCTACCTGCTGCCTGCTCCTCCCACTGCCACTTACCACCCAATGTGCCTGCCCCACTCTGCAGCCCCAAGTACCCCTTCCCCTGTGCCCCTTTTCCTCCCTCTGTGCTGCTTCTTCACCCCACAGCCTCAGGTCCCCAACCCCGCTTCCTCCCATCTCCATCCCTAAAGGCTCCCCTCCACCTGCCCCTCCACCTTCTCCTTTACCTTTGCCCTGTGACAGCAAGGTCTATCCCTACTGCAAGTTGGGGCATGGAGCATGGCTCCAGCCAGGCCCCATAGCAGTGGCTTGGAACCAGAACTGCTGCTACAGGGCCAGGCTGGAACATGTGCTCCGTGCTCCAGACTGCATCCAGGACAGAGCCTGCTGGTAAGGAAGGGCACGGCAGACGGGGAGACAGGGGAAGAAGCAGCATGGGGAGGAAGGAGACTGGGGGCTGCAGAGGAGGGGCAGTGGGACATGCAGAGGTAGCAGAAGACAGACAGCAGTTGTGGCCCCAGCCCCAGCCCTGGCCCCAAGTTGGGGCCTGAGTTGCAGCAGCTGTCTGTCCCCCGCTGCCTCATAATTGATTGTAGGGCAAGGAGCATTTCCCCCCCATTAAGTGGGGCAAAAAAACTCATATTTTACTCAAATACAGTAACCCTTAACATGCAACTGCTTGCAGCACATTCTAATACCACTTAATATTCCACAGATTTAGTAGGGCCTAAGTATAACATGTAATTTCACCCTTACATTTCAGGACACAGTAAAAGGAACTTCCCTTGTAGGGAAGTTAGTCCATAATTGTCCCCTAGCTTTGTTTATACAATAAAATCAAGATACTTCACAGGATTAGGTTCCTTACCTCCCCACAGAGATACAGGTTTATGAAATAACCATGGGTATAGATTCAGAGTCACAGTGAACAGCTGAACAGGA